TCAATGCAGTGCAATACACAATTTGAATTTGGTTCAAAGATGAACATTCAACATCGACTTCTGTATTATCTAGACTCCATCTTAGACATAAAGTTAGAAAATTGTCCTGTATTTATGTTTTACAAAATGTAATCTCCGAACAATGATATAATAAACTATTTTAAATTAATACTTAAAATTCGATTTCAAAAAATCCATCCATAGTTTAAGTGTTTATGATATTTTTCATAAAAAATTGTCTGTGCGTTTTATGTTAAGTGCTAAAACAAGAGTGAAATATCGAAAGAATAACAAACAATACAATTAATCCGTTGCAACGGACAATTTCACGAGTATTGATTGTCAATAATATTTCAATTTCAATCAAACTTTAAAATATTATTCAGATTTAATTTATTTAGAGGGATTAAATCGTTTTTATATTTTTCCAACTCTTTTTCTTAGACATTTATTTTATTCAATTAACGTTACCTCAATGTTGCACATATTGCACCAAATTACATTTTTATTATCACAAATAAATGTTTTCAATCTATAAAATTAAGATAAATAATGCTAATTGAATTTAATATTTTATAATGTAATATAAATTACGTTTATTTATTGTAATTAATTCATGTGATTCAATACGATAATTCACAAATCAATATTGAATCAATGAATATAAATAATTTAATAGCAAATGTAACCATAAAAATGAAAATATTAAAAGCTTGTCGCTATTGAGCGTATTTTCTGTAAATAAAAATTGACAAAATATCATTGGTGAAATAAGTTTCCAAGTCTATATATTATATTGTGTAATAAATGTATTCCTATTTGGAATAATGGATTCATCGTTTGATTTAGTGAGTCCTAAAATTAGTTTTTAAAACTACGTTTTTCGACTATCACCGGTGGTCGCATTTCACACACAATATTCTATCAAAAACCAGATCATTTACCTGTTAAAAAATAATTTTATAAGAACAAACGTACAGATATGATTTATAAATTTTATTAAATACAGGGTCCGGCAAAAAAACCTCCCATATTTCGAAAAGTAATTGTAAATTAATAAACAAAGATACAGAACAAATTCTTTTATTTTTGAATTACACATAATATGCCATTTTACATTAAATACAATTAATACTTTGTTTTGAACATAACGTCTGTCAAATACCAATCTGAATTAACCGTTACTTTTAGTCCATTTTCTTCAAAAAAATACGGACCTAACATACCAAAATCAGATACTGCACACCAAACTGTCACATATGGGCTGTGAAGTGGCCGTTGATGAAGTTCCTGAAGATTTTCTTCTGCCCAGTAGCGGAAATTTTGTTTATTAACAATACCAAATAAGTAGAAGTGGGCCTCATCAGACAAAATCAAAACATTACCAGCGAGAATGTTCTGAAGAATGTCTTCACACACCGCTCTACGAGTTTCAAAATCTCTCTCACTTAGTGCTTGTGTAATCATCATTTTGTATGGGTGCATATGAAGATCTCTGTGCAGGATTCTTCTTACACTCCTATCAGAAAGTCCCAGGGCAGCTGCATGTTTAACTGCTGAACGCCTTGGAGATTCCTGGATGGACGCCCTCACACGTGCGACATTTTCCGGTGTTGTTATGGTCAAAGGTCGGCCAGGCGGTTTTTTCTTCAGTGCAGAACCCGTTGCTCTAAAGTTGGACACCCAAACGAGCATTGTTTTTCTATCCGGAACATAATCATGTCGGCCAAGTTTGAACAGGATGCGAAATGCTCGCTGAGTAGAAATCGCAGAACTACCATTACTGATATACTCCTCTACAACAAAAGGACGATGTTCACCGGTCCACGCCATTGCGCCTACTAAAAATGACACGTACACCGCTATCGATCGATACCCCCTCCATAGTTGTACCAACACCACAACTCACACAGCGTAAGCTCTAAATACGGGAGGTTTTTTTGCCGGACCCAATTATTAATTATCAAAACATTGGTTGTATTTATAAATTTAAATTGATTTTTAAAAATCGTTCTATAATTATAGTAGACAGGTATCCTAGATCATGCTACATAATATATATTTGACAATTTTCAAATAATTCATTTCATTACAACATTTATTTAGATAATTCGATACAGATTGAATTTATCTAAAAAAGATAATTAAATGAATAATATTATCTAGATAATTCCCAACACTGTCGCCAAGACAGTGGCGTACCTATGGGGGGGGACAACAAGGGCATTTCCCCCCCCCCCGAGAAGTTTTTTGACGCCATAATGCAAATTAATTATTCAGCTTAAATAATGTAAATTATAAATATTTTTAATTTTCACTGATTATAATCGTGTTTAATATCAAAAGTTTTTGATATCACTTATCAATATAATATAAATATCAATATTCGACTGAATTGGGATTAGGAGTGATGGTCACATATAGTCACTATTTTATAATGTTATCATTGATATCAAGTAATCAACATGAGTTTTAAGTATTTAGTAATAATTTATAATAAAGTTTCAGATTATATTATAGCTATAAAAAATTGTGCAATTAATTTATGCCCTCCCCCAAATATGTTTCACGGGTACGCCAAGACTGAACAACATACAACATTATTAAACATTTTACGAACACTAGTTGTTGTTACGAGGACTTTGTAAATGTTGACTTATCTATTCGGGTATAAATCTCAACATTTCGTGAAATGTATTATGATTCGAAAAGTACACATTAGTTATATAATTGTATAAATCATACCGTTAACATCATCGCCATCGTTATCGTTTTAGGTAATAAAGTATATTTATTCAGAAAAATGTTAATTAATTTAATATTTACGAGTATACTATACAAATGTAGAAGTGTTAGAAAAGTAGTTTATTGATTTTTAATGGACTCTAATAGTCCATAATACCTATATTATAATTGATGAGTATTTTAAATATGTAAATATACTAGATTTGCGGATAAAATTTATTTTTCTGCTAACTATGATTGCTGATAGTTACCATTATTCACTTATATTTGAAAATGACAAGTGATAAACGTCTAAATGAATTTGTTCGTTAAAATATGACGTTGCACAAAAATATATATAAAAATATATATAATGGTAAATTATTGTGAGTAAACAAAAAATATGATTGCATTGATTGCAATAATGATCTACATTCGATACCGATTTGATCCTAGTTTGTATATAGTTAGTGTAATATTATGAAATAAAAGATTTATCATTTTAGGTCATGAGTTCGGTTATTGTTTAAAAAAGTAGAGTACAAATCATGCGTTTTACAATGGATTAATTGATTAAAATAAGGAACCGAATGCGAGTTTATTTACGGCATTACCTATTGATTATTAAATTAAATGTATATAATAGGACAAAATGCTAATTGAAAAATATTTGATTATATACAATGTTGGAAAACGCCGAAATTATTGTTTTGGTCATTCCGAATTCGTTTAATGGTAATAATACATTTCAAAATAATTACAATTTTAATTTTTTTTTTTTTTTTTTTTTTGTAGTAACTATAATACAATAATTGTTTGCAAAAAATTTAAATGAAGAACGACTTGCGGGATGCGAAGTAAATGGTTTTATTTTATTTTTATGTTAAGAGGCATCCATAAGTATAATATTTCAGAAATTTCAAACTGTGATTATAGAAAATAATTCAAAGTTTCACTGTTTGCAATTGTGATCAGTAAATATTACACGATAGAGTGCTACATTATTGCATTAAATGCATGAAACTTGTTGTTGCCACACATCCATTTATTACGTTTAATAATATTATAATCATGTACGTGCTTTACATATATTGAATACGTGTTTTACTTTAATAGGTAAATAAAATGTATGCATTATTGATCCGAGTTCATCTATAGCCAATAGTCAATGTCCATATATAAAGTACAAACAAGTTATGATGAATATATTAATATAAAATAGCATTCATCAAAATTAATGAAAAAATTAAGTAAGAGATTTGTAAATAATATGAAAAATCGATCAGAGTTTACCAATCATTGATAGAAATATCTAATTTTTTTAGCAATTTAAAATAAAATCGTCGAAATTAAAAAACTTAAAATGATTATTTATGGTTCTAAAATGCATACACATTATTTTACATATAATTATTGTTAACGTTTTTACTAAAATACCGATACTTGTTTAGTTTACTGCAATATTGGTTACACTTTGAAACATATGGAAACTTAGACGCCGCGATTATTCGTCGAACTTTGTCGTGTTATTATAAGAGTTTACCTATTGTTATTTTTTTTAAAAAGTGAAAATTGTGTTTTTTACATGAAGTATTTTTGTATTTTTAGTGCATATTTAAGTACTTGTATGAGTATTTTTAAGAGAATATTATAGCGCTTATAACTAATTTTTTTAGAGCTATAAGTTATGAGCTCTGCTCATCACGCAAGTGGAAACGGTAAATCTAAACACTTGTAATGGTAACAACTATTATGTCACCGTTCGTACCAAACATTATAAATAACATGATATATCCATGTATCGATGGACAGATCAAGAAGATAAAAACGATTTCGCGTCGGGGTACGAATGTTATCACGTCAACGAGTCCGTTACACCAGTGGCGTAGCCAGGAACTTTTTATGGTGGGGTTCAGCAAATTTATATATATTTAATCTTATCTATCATTTTGACTACTATTTGTGTTGATCTCGATATTTTTAAGTTTGGTTGACATTAGTTTTTTTTGACTAGGGTAAAAAAAAAATAATTCATTTTTCTAGTTTGCTTATTTGTTAGAGAATTTGCCTTAATAATAACAATTTAGGAACTAGGAACTTATATAGGAACATAAATATTAGATATTAGAATATTTTCTGTCCAATTACTTAGGTATACTAAAAATTAAATTTTAAAAATATCTTACCATAATGGAATGTTTAGATGTCTTAGAATGATGTCAAATTAAAATAAAACAAATATAATAGAATACAAATGTCAAATATAAGCGAATAAACGAGTAGTAAGTAAAACAATGAGACACCAACGGGCAACGACCAACTATTTACTAATAACTATTAATTTTACACAATAAGATGCTTGTGTTAAATAATCGGTGAGCCGAGTATGCAATAGGTATACCCAAAATAAACTTTGAATACAGACAATAATATCGCTTTTATCTCAGTTATCGGGACCAAATGACCGATTTAGAATCAACTGTTGTAGAAAACCTAAATAATATGTTCCCAAGCAAAAATTATCAAAATAGTAGTAAAGTATCTAAATATGATCATAATATTATAACGTATAACGTGTGTGTGTGTGTGTGTGTGTGTGTGTGTGCAGCGTGTGTATAATACGTTTATAGTGTTTATACAAACTATTTATGTATAGTCAATATTCTGAAATATAAAAATGTTAAAGAAAAAACCGTGTTTCATGTAAAAGTTAATTTACCATCTCAAGTTCATGTTGGGGGGGGGGGTTCTGACTCCCAAAACCTCCTCCCATGGATACGCCACTGCGTTACACAACTATAACTACTACTGCACTACAATAAAAATAATAATAATAACAATAATAATAATAATAGTATTGGTAATAATGATAATATTTTAATCCTGATTAGGAATCGCACATTACCCGAGCACCGAACGAAGCGCCGCGAACTTTGGCGGTGGGGGACAATACGTCAGCGGTGGTGGTGGTGGTGTTGTTCTAATGGGACTGGTGCCGGCTAACCGACGACGACGTCTATGCGCGCAAGGTGTTCAGTCGTCCATTCGTAGCACTACGAGAAACCAGCAAGTGTTCCGACAACCTGTTGAGACTCGACACCCGGAGTCATCATCAACTATAATGTTTCGAATAAGTGTTCGTCGCGCTGCATTGCTCTGATTCATTTGGATATCTCGCTTGATTTAAATAAATTACCAACCTCTACGTAGAAAAATACGAATACACCAAACCAAATTTATTTGTTATAAGCCGTAAACGAATTTTCATTTCTTTTTTTCAATCTCAACCGCGCCAACGGATAATAGTTATTACAGTCGACGATTGACACTGTCAAACGTAAATCATAGTTTACCATTCGAATTAGCGCGGCGCGAAAACATCCAAGCTGCATTGCACCAGCGACTGAAAAGATCGGAGAATCAAAACAGTGAGTATTTTGTTTTGCGCTTAATTCTTATCGTCCGATTCACTCCACGTTTAACGTCGTGCAAGGCCGACGATGATCGCAACGTTAAAAAGGAAAAAGGAACGTTTGGGGTAGTACACCGCTGCTGATCCGTACGTCGTATTTTTTTCCGGACCAACACGTTTCTGCCGCCCTCACGCGAGCAGTGCAGGTGGCCCGTACACGCGTGCGTGCGCGCGCGCGAGGAAATCCCACAGATTTTCTGGATCGAGATTATTTCCGGTCGGGGCAAATGGAGTTTAATTATAGCCGCGAGCCATCCGCGGTGCGGTTACTTTAGTCGTAAATGAAATCGACACGTCGATGAATCGTTATTTATTATTGTTGTAATGGGCAGATAAAGGACGATATTGCGCGAGTGATTGTTGCAACAGTAAAAATCATATCGAAACGGTAATAACGATTACGTCAGACCGGCGGAGACGGAACGTTCGCCGCCGGACCGCCGAAATAACTCACGTAGGCGGTACATCGATACGAACGCGCCGCGGCGGGGGGGGCCTTTGTACAACACATTATTATTTCGACCTTATTTGTCTGGCGCCGTTCCGAGTTTATTTTCGGCCGTGATCTTTTGAAGGCCGAATCGGAAGAGCTTTCTCGACGTTCCTGACACCTCCCACCCCTCACCCCGCCGTCACTATACTCGGAGCACGATGTCTGTGTATGATATTCGTTTTTTACCCGACACCGACGGCCGAAACAACGTCGTCGCGGGCAGGACGCGCGTGTATTCCGCTGCCGTTATCGCCACGCTGGTATAACTCGCACGTACGCATCGATAGGCGACGCCGACGGTTCGGGTGAGATGCCTTTACCTCTCTCTCGCTCGTTCCGTCAACGTCTCTCCCCGTCATCTTTTCTCGTCTTGTGCCTCGACCTCTCGGACGGATTAAAACCGACCGTTTCCGAGTCATCCGTTATTGAAAGGGTTCTATTTTTGTGACATGTTTTGTTGTGCGTTTTTTTAAACACTCGAGGACGGTTTTCCACAGGTTACCAACGCGGTGGTATATTGGTTAGAGGGGTATAGAGTAGAATGAACGCGTACCGCTTCAGGTTCACGATGCGTGGCAGGCTCACGGCGATTGGTTCTGGACAAGACGGCCCTCCGCCTCTGTGAGGCGCACGGACACTGACGCCGCTGGTTAAATCGGGGCCGCCGACACTTTCTCGTTCGCTAAACAGATCCGAAAGTTATCTGTTCGCACAAAAAAAAAAATTCCAATTTTTTTTAGCTTTTATCTAGGAAACATCATCTTCACTCGGTAACCATATATTGAATAATTGATCGTTGTTTTAATATTATTTTTTTTTTTATATAATTGATACGTGTATACGTGTATAGTATTACATTATATTTTATTATATTGCTCATTGCATGCGCCACTTTAAGTGATTGCTTGTATGAATTCCCAGCTGTTTTCCAACTTTATGGTTTCAAATTTGAATCGCGTATCGACTATAATACACATTACATGCCCATTGATATTCAAATTATAAAGTTTCCGATAAAACGATAGAATGTCATTAAATAATGACTCTTGTTGGCATTTGTAGTCTTATCGAGTGTTTATTTTAAATTTATTGTGTGTTTATGTTAACTATTCATACAACATAATTATTCGTGAAGTATTTTCAATATAAATTAAACTAGCGTTCGTTCCTACTAGTGTATTATAATAATAATAGATATTTATTTAACATTAAAAATGATTTTCTAATCGTTGTACCATTAAAACAATGGGAAACGATTATTTATCAACGCACTCATCGTGTTTTATCTGAGAACCTTTTAACCTAATATTATAAATATGCTAAATATAGACTTCTTAATAGATATTGCATTCTTAATTATTGATAGTTAAACGTGAGTTTCTACTGATAAAAATTATATTTTAAAACCAATCCATGTGTTTGTATTTTACATAATATACCTGTAAACATTTTCGGTATTTTTCGCATATCGACAGTAACATAAACTGTCGCGTTCCATTTATTGTTTTTGGAAACTCAATTATGATCAGAGACAATATTGTACGATAACAATAAAAAAATGTATAAAAACAAAATATATAGAACAATAATGATACCTACTTGATATTTGCATGATATAAATCTTTGTCGATATAGAGATCAACGATCAAACATAATAATAATAATTATGAACTACTATCATTTAAACTTTGACTTTGATTCCACCATAAATTAAATGAAACTCTAGACATTTTTCTACGACAAATAATTAGAGGTTTATAGAATGTATTAATCCGTGTAGCTTAATTGTCGTAATTCCTTACGAGCTTCAAATATTTTACGAAACACTTATTTACATCGAATACTCAGGTTCAGAGTTCAACATCCATCTTACTGATGTATTTACAAGAATTATTTATAGATTGTTTTCGAATTGCAATACCTGTTGGATTATATAAATATAATTATTTTACTAAATAATCTGAACGAAATAGCATTTGACCTTAGACAATAATGTTTCATCAGTGTTAGCTTCTGATAATTTTTTGCACATATCTAATTTTCTCTAACAGTAATTAAATATAAGACAATAATGAAAAAGATTCAGGTTTTGAAATCATAATAAATTATCGAATAGAGTAATTATTCGTATTTTTTAATGAGTGTAATATGTATTTAGGAATTTGGAATAGGATTTCTTCCTTTCGCAATGTATTGAAAAACTCGATCGACGTATATTTGCTTTAAAAATGCTTTAATTTATTAAAAAAAAAATCCACTTCAAGTTAAAATGTATTCCGTATTATAGCTTTGATTAAAAATGTGCTTGGGGCGATTTTATGGTATGTTCGTCGATAATAGTGCTTTAAAAATGCGCATTTTAGATGTATAACATGGGTTTTGCTGTCACTTCCTTGAGCCACACGGATCTTACTTTTGTCCGTCCATCGCTTCTTTATATTATACATGCAATATAAATCATTGCAAGATCACTACGCTTATATTGTTGCTATATCTGCCGGTTAAAAAATATAATATAACTTACTATATTTAAGACTGGGTTTTAACGAGTTGAATAGTTAAAGTTCATTTATTTTATTAAATTTCAGTCGATTTCGATTTCATATAAATTGTTTAACGTTAGAAATAACGAAAAATAAAAATGTTGTTTGATAACGAAAAACTTCAGTGAAATCAGAAATTTTATACATAAATACTATAAAAACACTTTTGTTTTGAGTGATTAAAAATAAAGTAGGTTAATGTTGTAAATTTAGTAAACTTTTTTTTAACTTAATAAAAAAATTAAAAACTGTATATTAACTTATAGTTTTACCGAATCGATCAAATATTACATTTAATCTTATCCTTTACTTATTTATGTACGTTGAATCGAATAAGTAAAAAAAAAAAAGAAAAAAACATTAATTTGCCCAGTCTTGAATCAACTAACCCAATCATTTTGTTCGATGTAAATGTTTTTTTTTTCCATCTCCGCAAGAATCGGCTGTGAAACTAGGTGCGATGGTTAAATTAACGTTATCGTTAAGAGCATGCGGCCGAAGTTTACCGATTCACAGACTTTTCGCGAATCTCGCGGTTTTAGTCCGAAACGAATTTTAGGGAGACCGACGACACACGTTCAGCACGATCCGTCCGACACATCTAATAATACCGTCATCGCACATAGGGAAAATTAAAACCGGGGGAAATGAAAAGAAAAAAAAAGTGACCCACAATGTCACGGGCTTATCGTAATTTAAATATGCGGTCGCGGCCGTTGTTTTATTCGTCCAGGTACCAAAGAAACCCGTGCCGTTCGCCGACCGCCGACCACATGGCTACCGAGTGCTGTGACGTAATGGTGGCGCACAGCCCACCGCTGTTCACGGCTCACAGCACGGCCAAACCGGCCGCCGAGCTGGTGCTGTACCAGAACTTCCGGTTGGTGATGACGCACCAGAAGAACGTGTCGCCGATGTCGGTGCGCCGCCTGAACGCGCGGTCGTCGTCCAACTCGCCGACTCGCGACGACAGGCAGCATCAACAGGCCGCGTCGTCCAAGCCCAGGAGACCGTGTCTGGTCATCAGAACGGACTCGGACGCTAGCATCGGGTCATCGTCCTCATCCTCGGGCTCGTCGTCGTCCGACGAGAACGAGCCATCCAGCCCAACCAGGAGGAAGAAGAAAGTCGTTTTCGCCGACGACCGGGGACTGTCACTAACTCAGGTAAGGAGATCGTACAGCAATATTTATTTATTTTTTTTTTTCGTACCGATTCATGGTTTTTCTGTTCACAACTAAACCAACTGTGGTATGGACATTTTTAACACTTCAAAATCCCCAAATAAATACATTTATTTTTGGTATTTATCATTCGCGTTAAACGTATGCATAATCGTGACATAGATAGGAGGAGGAGGTGAGGGTTCAATCGGTATGCGATTGAAATTAAGTGATGAGGGGTTGCTGGGTCCGTAAACCCAACAATATTGAAAATCGTTGACCGTTTTGCAGGTGAGATTGATGAGTGAACCGTCGAACCAGCCGCCGAAACTGATGACCGTGAGCCCATACCTGAACCCGCAGCCAATTGCGGCGGTCAACAACTGCGTTAACAGGCAGCCCGTGGACCAGCAGTGGCATTTGAGGTTCCAGCAGCCGGCTTCCAGTTACCTGGACTTCCGGAAGCGGTTGGACGAGAACAACGTGTCGCTGGAGAACGTGATCATCAAGTCGCCGGACAAGCGGATCGTGGGCACGGTCAAGGTGCGCAACCTGTCTTACGACAAGGAGGTGTTCGTGCGCAGCACGCGCGACCGATGGGCCACGCACCAGGACACCCTGTGCACGTACGTGCAGAACAACGCGATGGTGAACGCGGCGTCGGGCAACGGGGGTGGCAGTGGCCTGTTCCCGGGCGTTTCCGCGTCCGCGCAAAACCCCGTGACCGCCATCTACGACACGTTCTCTTTCCGGCTGCCGTTGCCCGCGGACGCCACGTCCATGGAGTTCGCGGTGTGCTACAAGAGCGCTCGGTTCGAGTTCTGGGACAGCAACGACGGCAACAACTATTGGCTGTCGCTGGGCGCGGGCTGCTCGCAGCAGTTGCCCGCGGCCGGTCCGCCGCCGCTCCAACAGCACGCCGCGGGCTCCACGTCGTGCATGTCCTCCGCGGACTTTGAGCAACACTTGCGCGCCGCCAAGCAGCCCGTACACTACTTCGGCTCGCAGTCCGGACAGAACTCGTGGAACGTGTGGCGCGACCAAAAGGACAACGACTCTTCCGCGTACTGGTGAACGCTCGACCCACCGCCGCCGACCAACAAATTGTGAGTACCCGCTGTAGTCCTAACGTTAACCTCGACTCGTCCGAACTAGATTTCGATTGCACACGGTCTCGCGCCCCGAAACCGCGCGAACCCGATTACAAAAACGATAATACCTCCGTAACATTCGTTTAGATTTACGTTTCGATAACTAATCAACACGTTTAAACTGCTGCGTTTTTGTCGTCGAACGCGGCTGTGTGTCCGATAAATGATTTCGATTTTTCTTCGAGGGCCCTCGTCGAACGGAATAAATCACCGACGACGTTATCGCGCGTCAACGTCGCCCTAACGTTATTGACCGTAGTCACGAAGTCGAGATCTACCTCCGACCACGTTTACCACTTCGCGGGCGCATTTCAACCGAATCCTGTACGCGTTCTAGAACGGATCTCGTTCTTGGATAAGTCCGACGTGGACTTGACAACACGACTAATCGGGTCCAAAGTGTAAAGTTCATTCGTGTATTACGCACTGCTCTAAGTGCGATTGTTTTTTTTTTTTTTTTTTTGTTCACTCTGTTCGCGACTCGTGGGCACACACTTCGTTATCGCGTTGCACTCGTCGACGGTGCAATTTCCGCCGCCCACCGGTACAGCGCTTCCCGGACACGACCTTGGGTCCGCCGTCTATTTTCGTCGTGTGACGGTCCTCTCCGCGCTCGTAGGTCAAACCGAACGTTCCTAATTAACATCCACCGAATCCGTGCACATTCGCGCGCACTTGTTCGTACACGAACGCGCGATATTGTAACGTTAATCATTTGATTCGATTTAATCCTTTTTTTTTTTTTTCCGCAGATCATGGGATTTCTATTCATTTTTTTCTTTTATTTTTCCGGGAAAAATTCGCAACGAAACGACGCTCAAAGCCAAGTTGGAAGACCGTGCCCGCCCGAACAGTCAGTGCCATCTATCAGTCGACGTGCATGACCGCGTGCAAATGCCAGGAAAAATTTTCTTAAAACAAAACGCACGCACACATATATATTATATGTAATGAATACGCGCGCGTACACACGCATACGCTCGTTTGTTATAAACATTTTGAAATTTTACATAGGTGTTTATTATAAATCTAGTTGAAGCATATTTCAAAACATTTTTATCTAACATCACTTTTTTTTTTATAATTACTCTATATTATTATCTCATTGAACTGACAATATTTTTTTTTACAAAAAAAAAAAACCAATGCCATAAATTTATTTTGAGATCATAACTATATAGTCTTGTCGTCAAAATCAATATAAAAAAAAAAGAAAAAACTCAATAATTATCTTGAAATTAATTTATTACCCCACGTAAGAATTATTATAAATATTTATTTTTTTTTTTTATGTTTTATGAGTTTTACTTGTGTTGAATATTATTTTTTTATTTATTTATTTTTTTTTTTTTATTAGAGAGTGATAGTTCGTAAATTAAAGACTAAATGGCCATCTCATAAGACTGATCTATACATATATGTACATATTTTATTGTTTTATTTTTCCCTTCATCGCGTAATACCCGAGAGAGCGTATATATATAGGTATATTGTTTTGTACGATTATTATTACTATTACTATTATTACTACCATATCGTCGTGTTCTTTAAAATATTTATCTATCAAATCCTTAAAAGTGTTGAATAATTTGACGGAAACATCGCGTCGTTGACCGGTTACGCGAGTGTTTTCTTTTCACACTGATAAAATAAGTTTTGAGATGGTCATAATATTTACAATTATTATTTTATTTAATTGGCCTGAAAAGGAAAAGAAAATATGTTTACCATACTTATTTATTTTTTTGGCATTAATTATTAGAACTCATGATTTTTATTTTATTTATTATTCGTTTAGATTAGTTTTTAGATAATGTTTATACAATTATACTATTATTCTCGTTCTTACTCAGCCGAAATGTTACTACTAGTGATCACTAATGTAAATATAATATACACATATATATAAATATATTTTTTTTCTATTAATCTTATTTATTCATTATTTGTTCATGGTGGAAATAGCATTTTCGCTATCCAAAGCGTATATATTATATAGGAACGTAGTATGTAATATAATTGTACACAATCAACCTAACCCCCTGCGCTTTTTATTCGATTCGTCTTCATTTTTTTTTTTCGACCAAATATATATAGGTACGCACTCATTAGTCCCACGCCAAGAAACAGTCAATAACAGTACAAATCTAGTCATTACCGTCTAATATTAATTTTCACGTAATCCATCATGTCATGATAGTACACATAATGTACCTACACTATTTGTCCCTATAGGTATATTCGAATATTTTTACTCGCCACATTATATAAATTGAATTGTTAGTGATTAATGCCGTGACCAACTATTGATCAGCGCATATTAAAATAGGGTGATTTCTTATTCGTCAAACATTGTGTACGATTCATAGTCATGTCCCGAAAAACGTCTGTAAATAACTTGGTATGCTGGATTATTATTTATTATTAACACTATCCCATAGATGTTATTTTCTTTTCTTTTAAGAGATCCACGATTAATTATTTTTATGATTTATGTTGTATAATTATTGTTTATATTTTATTTTATTATTATTATTATTATTAATATTTTCACTATATCATTATATACATATTTATATATAATATTGTAATTGAAACTAATATATTTAGAAACGTTATTTCATCAATAATTATCATTATTATTATTATTATTATTATTAATAACGTTGATTTTATGAAATGTATCTATAGCCAATTGTAAAAATAAACTATGTTATTCGAATATTATACAGCGTTCGACCACTGTGTTAATACTATTATTATACTGTTTAATGTATAAATACTCACTGTCCGGACGGATCGGATTTTAATCGACATCTGTGATTATAGATGACTTGGCACGTGCACAAATCCAATATTTACTTACGTGCTTGGGCTGGTGTGTAAACCGTGTGTTTCTATGTCAACATTATGGTTTACCGGAGTGGTGGTATTTTTTACTGGATGACGAGTGATAGGTTTTGCCAAATATTTTATCGTTTTCCGGTTTTTTTCCGTTGTTTTTCTTGATGATAAAACTTACGAGAGAATATCATTATTAAGCGCTTACTTTGTATATCGTATATATCCAACATTTGATCCAAAAATTATCCTTGTTGAATGACATTTTTCGTGTATACCGTTGTCAATAAACCATTCGAAATAGTTTAAAAAAAAAAAAATAAATAATAAAAAAAATAACGCAAAATTATCTGTGCGTAGAATCCAAAGAAATTACATTTTTGAACCGATTCAACCATGGTCGGTAGTCTAAATCAGAAACCTAGATATAACGGAAATTAATTTATAACACGGAAACTCGTGATAATGTCCTGACTGTAATAAAAAGATAGAACGGAACAGAACAGAGGGTAGCTGGTAACGTATCAGTGGAACTACGAGCTCGACCTCACTCTTAAACAGTAAACGATGTGATGTAATTATAATAAGTTACAGACTCAAGTCTGTCGAACAATATTTTTATTTAATAACAGCTAAGTACGAGTTTAACGAATTTGACTTTTATAATACGTGTCGTAAAGGTGCGGACCCGTGACGGATCCAGAAATTTATCGAATGAGGATTAATTAAAAATTCAATAAACGTTCGAATCGTCAAACGACCACGTTCTGATTGAGAAATGTATCATCTTTTTTTTTTTTTTTTATTCGTTAATATATACCAATATATACATACACTAACTTTATTTACAATCGTTAAATTTACAAGTAAAAGTGCAAGAACTATTCTAATTTTTGTGTAAACCATTGATGTTTAACTGCTGTAGTCGTGTAGGAAAAATGTAAAAGTAAATCATATATTTTATAAGTTTTATTATAATGTGCTCAATGGGACGAGAGGGAGACGTGTACCGCATTGCACGGGTACATCAACATCGAATTCAACTCTCTATCTATCCGTCGAGGCAACCTCGACATTGGCATCGGACGTCGCTCACAAAAGCAGTGAATGCAGATTGGAATCTTAACGAGCAGCCGAAGGACTTACGCGAAATATTGCTTGAGCAGCGTTTACCAATTTGTCCATTAAAAACCTTAGACACGTGCTCGTCATGTTCGTCGAGTCCGTTGATCGATGTGACGTGTGTCGGAACATATAACATGTACAATATATAGTATATAGGAGTCCGTAACAGATCAGCGATAACCTCTGGACTAAAGTAATCCCTCGTTATCTGCGAAAAAATAAGGCTTAGGTTTTGTTATTTTTATTTTATAAATCAAAAAGTTGGTGGAAATGTTAAAATAACGCGCTATATCATAGACCAATAATAAAAAATACTCTTCTCGAGAATTTTTTCCTAATGATTAAAATACGATCATACTTATTGAGTTTTAACCTAATAACAGTATTTAATAAAGTTAAAAAATATCAAATTAGTTGTTAATAATTACAAATATTACATCCTCTAAAATTTTAAGTCCGGGGATGAATCCCCGTCTTCCACCCCCTAGTTCCGCCTCTGGCCGTACACATGTCGGTACCGTATGTGGCTTATCCGTACATAAGAGTACATATCGACGCCTCAGTTCAAGACCGCAATAACTCAAATTATGAAACTACTGGTTCTAGAATGAAATAAACGACCTCTAGAGGTGAATAATGCAACTTAAATTTATTGCGTTATAGAATCGAAATCGTCGTAATTTTGCAAATAATATCACGCAGATAACTGAATTCTGAATATTTTTGAGTTATTGCTATCTTGAACTGAGGCGTCGATATCTCAATAATAGTTTATTTGAGTTATTGCAGTCTCGAACTGAGGCGACCATATACGTACATAGTCATATATTAGTTATACCTAGCGACCATAAGCGTGCGGAGACCTCTTTCTCAGGGTATGCAAAAGGCTGCCACTGCCTACCCCCCCCCCCTAAACTGAAAGTTAATTTGAGCGTTCGAAATTCTGGTCTTAATAACTATTTAAATTAAAATTTCAATTTTTTTCCTGAAAAAAGTGACTGAATAGCCATTTCTTAATCGTTATAACTATCTTCATAATTTAAATTTAAAATTAAATACATAACACTTGAAATGGTTTGAGTAATACGTTTAAATAGGGTAAATAAATAAAAACGTAATTATATACTTAAATGAAAAAATAAAATAAATTTGATAAATAATCAAAATTAATCATAAAACGATTCTGCATACAGTTGAGTTCTTAATATCACCAATAATGTATTCGGGATTTTAATTTATAGCCATTTCTTGTTTTGTAGTTCATAGCTATTTAATATCACTTGAATTATTGTACTTCTTAATTTCATTAACACATTAAATCGTTATTATAGCATATGATTTGTGTGTCAAAAATAAATTCAACTGTCTGGGACTGAATATAAAAATATAATAAAAATCATAATGTAATACAAAATCACATAATATACATAAAACCAAATATGTCATAATTTTTATTTATTTTTTGTAATTTTAGAAAGAAAGCTCTATGTTTACGGTATGCAATGGCATACCCTGCATACCCCCTGCGCACGCCTATGCTAGCGACAGTGGCGTATACAGAAAATATTTTCGAGAGGGGGTTACTATGGACAGAGTTAAATTACTACTGCCATCTAAGAATTACTAACAAGACACAGTAAGTACTTATCTACATTTCATTTACAGAATGTCCCAAAACGATTTGACGTTGGACACAAATTCTAAATAAACATAAGGCACCAGGGACGCCCACAGAAATGTAGCTCATGGGGGGCAAAAAAATTGTAAGTACCTAAATACTTATAGGAAGATTTACTGCTACATTTTCATCTACTCATATTTTGTATTACTATCATTAATAATTTTTCAAAAATCAAAACTCATTTAAGTTTATATAAAATTACATTATTAGTTATTAGTTTTAATATTTATAAGAAAAAATATAATAAAGTTTTATACAAAAAACAACTTTATTTGATTGAATTCGCATCATATTTTATTATTTTATTCAAAAAGTAATGACAATCTCCTTTTGTTTGAAGCAAATAAATTAATTAAATCATCATTTGTTGATTAAAAAAATGTTAGATACTTATTA